TTCTGTGACTGAATATGTAATACTCATATATGTAATATTCCTATATTGCTAAAGCAGCTTCTTTTTGGGAGTGGGGGATATGCGATGACAAAGAGATAGGCCTAATTTACATCGTGCACTTGATACATGTACTAACTAGTAATTTTCTATTAAATTATTTTAATTTCAGCAATGTATTTAAAGAATGATGTACTAAATTGATACAATATACATCATAATGATTAATTAAATACATATATCATATATCATATATGTGTTTCAACATCGAAATTAAGATCATTCAATAAAAAGTTACTAATTAGTACTCATATTAAACATCGATATTGATTTTTAATATATCAAACGATATTGATTTTTAACATATCAATCCTTTAAATTAATATTTTTAAGATCAAAAAGATATATGATAAATTTTATATTTATTTTCTTTTACCTATTGCAATGGAAGTATCTTCTTTACAAACTTTAAGTCATTTTAAAAAAATTGCTTGATCTTTAGGAAATCGAAAGTATTATACTCTTTCTTCAGGCGTACTATACTCTTTCTTTACTCTTTTTGAATAATTACAGCAATCTTTCACTGCACTTCATCTTTTATGAGAAAACATAATTTTTTACAAAAATATACACAAAATTCAACCTTATAAAAAGCAGTTTTTTAATCACAATTGTTGTGCCATTTTGTGAAACCAAATCTACCCGAACTGTTTCGAAAATAGCCGATGATGACGTAAGTGGTCCTACTCTGATTTCTGCGCAGTGGTCTATTACTGGATGAGCATACCCCTGTCCTTATATTAGGTGTAGTAAAAAGAAATCCATTATTTTTGCATGAAATTGAATGGAAAAATAATGGATTTCTTTTTACTACACCTAATACTATGAATCTAAGTATTAGGTGTACAACTTTGCTTCCGCCGTTTTTTTTCCGAAATTCGAGGCTTTATTGTAAAAAACTGATTATACATTTATGATTCAAAGTATTGTCCATCGCTGGCCACTACTTTCTCCCATCTTTCGGGTAGCGTACGAATCCCGCGTCGAAAAGACTGGTCATCTTTTGAGGCTATCCATGAATCGATCCAATGTTTTACTTCTTCATAAGACCGGAAGTGCTGGTCAGCCAGGCCGTGTGCCATTGATCGAAACAAGTGATAGTCAGAGGGAGCAACGTCTGGAGAATACGGCGGGTGGGGTAGGACTTCCCATTTCAACGTTTCCAAGTATGTCTTGACCACTTTCGCAACATGGGGTCGAGCATTGTGCTGCAAAATCATTTTATCGTGTCTCTCGTTGTATTGCGGCCGTTTGTCTTTCAATGCTCGGCTCAATTTCATTCGATCGAATTTCATCATTGCGTTCGATACCGATCGCCTGTGATTGTTTCAGTCGGTTTTAACAGTTCATAATACACTACGCTGGTCCCACCAAATACAGAGCATGACCTTGGAGCCATGAATATTCGGTTTGGCCGTCGACGTGGAAGCATGGCCGGAAACTCCCCATGATTTTATGCGCTTGGGATTATCGTAATGAACCCATTTTTCGTCAAAATCACCGTTCTTGAAGCGTTGAAACCACTCACATATTGAAGCAAAAAATTAAAACCTCCCGCAAATGACGAGAATTTGGCTCGTAAACATTTTCAATCGAGAATAACTTTATGATGCAGACACAAATCGACTAATGTTTCTATGGGGTTATGTTGACAGATGCCCAAGTTTATTGTATGACGTCTATGATCTATTTATTTCGACCACCACTTACCGCTAAAACCATCTATAGGAAAACGGCGGAAGCGAAGTTGTACATTTAATAAGTGTTACGATAATTCTTGTGCTCAGACCTTAAGAATGCGTTCAGATTCCCGGGTGCACTCAGAAGCGTTCAAATTCCTTTTGTGCCTTTACATATTGGGCGTTTAGGTGGACTATTCAGATTTCTATTGTATCCACCAGAGAGGATGAAAAAATTCGGTTCCTTGAGCATTCTGCACCGTGGTGTTTTTGTCAGCTTCTGTGACGCTGCACAGTATTACAGTAGCGCAATTCTTTGTCGGCATCTTTGATGTTAGTGTCAGCTAAAATGGAGTGCGCGAAATAAGTAAGCTCCCTAGTAACGCCATCTAAATTTCTTTTTCAGTTGTTCTTTATTTTCCGCTCTCTCTCTCTCTCTCTCTCTCTCTCTCTCTCTCTCTCTCTCTCTCCTTCTCTCTCTCTTTCTCTCTAGATCATTTGTACGTACAAATTAATCTAAATGTAATAAAAATAAAAGAAATAGATTTATAATTGTAATACATTGCAAAACAAAAAAATAAGAAAATATAAAATTATATAAATGTTGTATGATATACAACATTTGTATGATATATAAATATTATACTGTAAAAATATTTTAATTAACGACTGCGGCACAGCGATACTTGTTTTCCTGCTACGTCACTTGCGTTTTAATAAATTATTAGAATTGCATTGCAGAGAATGTGCGATTTTGTAGCTAAAACGAAAGCAATCCTGCAATTATACATAGCATTCACAGTACTTAAGCGAGACTGAATTGGTGCGTTTGCAGGTGCGCGCGCGCGTGTGTGTGCGTGCGTGTGTGTGCGTGTGTGTGCGCGTGTGTGTGTGTGCGTGTGTTTGTGTGTGTGTGTGTGTGTGTGCGTGTGCGTGTGTGTGCGTGTGCGGCTGACGCCTAATTATTGGCACTACTAATGATTATTATATTGTATTTTATTTTATGTTATGTCTACTGTATCATATAGTCTATTGTATCATATTTTATATCTATTACTCTGTTAACATGTAGTCTTTCTCTTAAAGCTTCGCAATAAGCTAAATTAAATTAATAAACTAATCATATAATTTTCTTTTCTTCTATCTCTTTCTCTGATCCATATTTCAGCTACTCAACATTTAAATGGTCCTGAGAGAGAATGGAAAAAAAAATGAGATAGAAGTTTAGATGGCGTTACTTATTTACAGCAATTTACTTACTTCACATGCGCACTCCGTTTTGGCCAACATGAAATCAGGAGAGTTCCACTACTGTAACGCTGCATCAAGAAGTTGGATTTAGGGTATGATCAACGCAATGTTGCAAACGCTTTGAAGCGTTTTTTAATTAGTCAATTTGTTCAAATTTTTTTCTTCTAATTGGTCCATCAAATGCTTCAAAGCATTTGTAGCGAGACTTTGAACACAGCCTTAATTCAACTTCTAGTGTCAACATGATAAACAGAATAGTCAAGTTGGAAATACAAGAATAAATACAATAAAGAAGAACACAACAAGTAAAATGGCTAAATTTAGATTTAAAGATAGAATAAGAAAAGAAAGTATTTATTTATTAATTGATTTATCATATTAATTAAATATTTATTTTAAAATTATTCAATTCTTTGTTCTAAAATAAAAAATTAAGTATGTGTCATTCTAAAATAAAAGATTAAGTATGTAGAATATACAGGGTGTCTGGAAATAATTGCCAAATATTTCATGGGCAGGTAAAGCGGATTAAACTGAGTCGAAAAGTCCTCTACCATTTTAAATTTCCCCAATAGTTAACAAATATTAATCCTTAAAGATAGTCGAATACTACTATGAAGTGTATATGCCTACGATTTGGCACGCGGGCCGTGGGGAATAGCCTTAAGCGCGCCGTCCGAGCTATGGAGGCTTGCGGCAGTGTACTTGGCGCGAGGCGCTTACCAGTCAATCCCCAACTCTCAAGGTTGCACGCCAAGCGATCGGTAGGCATACACTTCGCAATAGTAGACCGGGCGAGCTATCGGCTATCTTTAAGGATTAATATTTCATTAACTATTGGGAAAATTTACAAAATGGTAGAGGACTTTTTGACTCAGTTTAGTCCGCTCTACCTGTCCATGAAATATTTGGCGATTATTTCCGGACACCCTGTATACCAGGTGTTTCAGATCAGTACCACCCTTTTATCTTCGCAATAAGGTCTAATCGAAAAAGTGTTCAGACAAAAGTTGTAGAATTTCTAATGACCTATTTACTGGCGCTATGTTTGATCTTGAATGGCGTCACCAAGGTCAAGTCAAGGTCACATCAATTTTTTAAAATTTGTCAGATAGTATCCAAATAGCTAAGCGAGATTTAGCATATGGAACAAATTGCATGTATTGTTTTCAACTTGTTGACAATTTGCTGTTATTAGAATCTAATGTGAACTGAGTTAGCATCAGCAGAGCAAATAGATTTCATAAGTTTACGAAATTGTAAGAGTATACATTGAGAAATAATAAACTCACGTTGACAGCAAACTGACGGCATGCACGCCATGCACGCATGATGACAATTTGCCAGCAGTTTGCTGAATTCTAAGGAAGACTTTACGTGATCAGAACAACAAACAGTTTGTAGAAATACCTTTAGTGAAATGGTTTTTGATGAAATTGAATGCGGAATAAGTGACAGCAAAATAGCAACATATTGCTCTTATTTGGCTATTTGGGTATGTATTACTTGTGGCACAAGCGTATTGTAAAACTGCGCATGCGCAAAACATCATATGTTTACATTTTCATATATTCGAAAGAGATTTACACACACACACACACACACACGCACACACGCACACACACACACACACACACACACACACACACACACACACACACACACGATGAACGAAATTAGACTTATTCAATGTGTTTTTGCATGAAATGATCTGAAATAAATAATCGTGTGCGTGGTTCGTAAGTTCGTGAAAATTAAAAATTAGGATCTCCTTATATACTTAAAAACCAATCACAGAGAGACTAGTCACGTGTTTTATTGGCATCTCTTTTCTATATGACGATTTTCCATTGCGCATTCACTGCGCACAGGACACTTTTATATAAAGAAAAGTAGGGAATTCATAGTCTAGTATTATAATAGAAATTTGTGGTCGAGTGTTAGCATGAAAATGCACCTTTAAGTGATGTTAGCAATATAAGAGTATTACATATAATATATGGGCTGAACTAGTATACTTATATTTTTAAAACTTACAGTGAGAAAGGTATATGTTTGATATTTGTTGAAAGCGAGAAAAAGAGTTCTAGTGCAATTTACTGCAGGAACAGAAAACACACTTTTTATGTTTACCACAGATTATGGTAAGATAATGATCATATATACATAACGCATTGAACTTATTAAAACAAATGAAAACAGCGAATTGATTATGGAGACACAACCGTTGAAAGTGCCCGAAACATCTCCACCATCATATGCTAATTCTATCGTAACAGCTCCAGCAGGTGCGTCATGATTTTTAGGTTAAATTATACTGTCTAGAAATGCTCTTCTTTCCTTTCCGCAACTTTCCGCGTAAATAATTGTCGATTTCATTTGGTTGGCCAATTTTCCATTCTCGAAATTAATAACTCATGCAATAACAAAATAAAGCAAAATGAGAATACAGATTTCTGCTCGGTAATTTCTAAAGAAAGAATAAATTATATTTATTCCTTCTTATATGAAATTGACAAGAATGTTCGTACGTTCCTTCAATTCGAGCCATTATTAGCAATCCAAATCTCAAAATCGTCAATTAAATGCACCTTAGCGTTCGGAAACATCATCCGGGTGCTCGTGCATCATCTTATTCTTATTTAACATTGAGTAAATAATAAGGATAAATGATACACAATGGCACTCGGGTGTTTCCGAACGCAACCCTAGACAGATCGATGACTGTTTCTGTCAGATTCAATTGTTTTGTGCAAAAACATATTGAATGAGCCTAGTTTTATCAATATATACTTGAAGGAAGCAAAACGCAATAATTACTGAATTTAAATTAAACATTGTTTTTAATGTTATTGTTAGAAATGTATTTCTAGTATCACTTCTAATACTGAAAATCCAGTATAGATAATTCATCGGAAAAGATATTGAAAATGTAAAAAAAAGGCATCAAGTTATAAATTTTATCTTTATGTAAAACCATTTTGTAAATATAATGAAAAGAATAAAAAATAATATCACAAAAAAGAAATGAAATTAAAATTCAATGTTTTTACGCAAATATATAAAAACAAAGATGTTAAAAAACCAAAAATAATGCTATGAAAGAGAAGTAAAATCAAAATGGTAATATTTCAAGTATATTTATTAAAATAAGTTCCACGGAATACAGTTCTCTGAACAGTATCTTCAGAACGTTCTTGTTATGATGTAGACGTCCCTTGGACATCCTTTAGGACTTTGTTGGAATAATTTCTCACACTTATAATAGACTTAATACAAAATATGGAAGACATTTGAAGTATATAAAATAACAATACATTAAAATGAGAAAACAATTTGTAATAGATAGCATAATGAGGCGCAGAATTGAAAAAGTTTTTACATCGATAAAAAGAAGAAAAATAGAGACAAAAAATCGAAAATGAGCAAAATTTCTAGCAGCAGCATATTGACGCGTCCATTTTATTCATAATTCGATTCATGCAAATAATTCACTAAATATTATATTAATTATAAACTATTTTTCGAATTAAGGAAACTTATATATATTTAAGTTATTATTAATTTTAAATATATACAATATGAAACGCAACAATATTTGTACTTAGACGCAAAATAGCATGCCATATATTAAAATGCCATATATTTCTTTACGTTAATATCATTACCGCATTTATTATGAATGATTGTAATTTACCAACACACCTTATATGAAAAAAACGACTAGTCATTCGTGCAAGATTTATGTATGTATGTATTTATTATATCATAATAAATTTTAATAAAAACCAAGATTGTCATGTATATTGTCAAATAAATAAGAAAGGTAAGTAATTAGTCTTTAGAGTCAAACGCAGTTAATGCGTAGAGTATCCACTAAAGTATTTAATTATTATATTAACTAAAAAATTATATATTGGTATCGTAAAAGCGGATGTTTCGACTCAATTTCGAGCCATCTTCAGCGTCAGAATTTAAAATTCGTATATTAACTCCACACTCGAATAGAATCTGATGAATCTCCCAAGACATACCATTCTCAACAATAAGAATCTTATTGGACTGTACATTTATAAACTTAATAAATAGGAAAATAATGGCTGTAATGGTAGATCTTTTTTATGCTTAAATAATTGAAGACTTACTATATACAGGGTGGGCCATCTAGCGTTTGGAATTTCAACTATTAGTTATTTTGAGTTTGAAAGGCGTAATAACATTTATGATGTATCAGAAATTTAGTTTTTTGTTTGATATTTACGAAATGGGTTGCTATACGCTTGAACAAAATTGGGAAATATTGAAAACTTACTTCTAAAGTGAGTCTTCAACCCAAACTGTAAGAAATTTACGTGGAAAATTTGGTAGAAAAGAAATGCCTTCAACGCAGTTTGTGGATCAATTTGTGAAGCGAATTTGGCAAACTGGATCCTTATTGGATAAAGCAACTCGTTCATGTGCTCGTCCAGTAAGGACCGAAACCATTGCTGCTATTGCTCAGAGTGTGCTTGAATAACCATCAACATCAACTCGCCATCGTTCTCAAAACTTGAACATTTCACGAACTTTTTGAGAAGAATTTTGAATAAAGACCTCGATAAATGGCAATGTACTACCTTTCCAATAAAGCTTTCCATAAACTTTGAAAAATATTCATGCGTTTTTTTTTAGAGCCAAATTAAATTCCAAATTTTAAATGGCCCCTGTATGTGCATATATATTTGTAGTGATTCGAACTGTGCACCGAATTGATTTTTCGGACTTATGAATGCAATTAAACTGTAATATCACGAATTAAATTGACAAGCAATTTTTAATAATTTGATGCTTAATCAAGCATTCTATTAGAAAAATGTTACCCAGCAGGAGAATGGATTGAAATGGATTAAAATGGATTCAGATTTTCAGAAATTCATGAATGTTAAAATGAATCCTTTTCAATCTTGAATGCATTTTTATTCATTTATAGGAATTGCATAGAGCATGCCTCTCTATGCCTTTCAATCTGAAAATAATATTAGCATTTTCTGCATTGTGAATACTACTCAATTCAGAATTGTGAATAGGAAGTACAATTTTTTTAATTCAATTAAATTTAAAAATAATATCAGCAATTTCTATGTAACGTGAATACTGCTCATTTCAATAGTCTCAATATGAAATGCAGTTTTTCAATCTAATTGAATAAAAAAAGTTTTTATTTTAAATTTTTATTTTTTAAAAATGGACCAACTGAAAAATGGACTAAATGCTACTAAATTATCCAAAATTATAAATAGAAAATTTTTCGTTTTAATCCAACCAAGATTGAAAAAAGTTATAAAATTGAGCTATGTTCTTTTGTTTCTCTTTGATTAGAAGTAAAATGAATGATTGATGTGAACACTCGCAAACTAAGTCGAACACAGTCCGAATATTAGGCTAATCAAGATGTACGACATCGGCCAAGCGAGATCAGATTATCCGACATTTGCCCAATTGTCTCATAGTAATGTAAATCATTTATACTTTATTATATCTGTTAAATGATAATATTTTTATTATATCTATATAATTTTATTACTAGTTTAGCTGTACTTGAAGAAAAGAATGAATAACATAATTTACCAATTGAAGAAGTGGTAACATAGAAGATTCATAATCCAGAAGTCCCAGGTTCAAATCCCACTGCAATAGTGCGTTTGTTAATACCAATTTGAAGTACCAATTTCAGGTATAATTATTATAAATGTTATATTAGGAATAAAATTTGTAACCCTCAAATATGAATATATATTTTTTTAATATTAAAGTAATGCTCGAATCCATTTCAATCCATTCAATCCATTTATAGATTTAAAGTACGCATTAAAAAAATTTTAATCCATTTTAATCCATTCTCATTTGCTGGAATAATGTGCTGAAAAACTGTAAATAAATTTATTGCGAAAAATATTATTAGGTGTGGGAAAAAGTTCGTGGTGTTTTTCCCGTTAGATGGCATTAAAAAAACGCCACGAATTTTTTCCCATACCTAATACTTCAGCCGAGAGTCGTACTATTCACGAAGTAAGAACAGTGAGAGAACTGATTGGTATTAATAAACAATCGATTATCGAGATTAACGTGCGCTTTTTCAAATAAGAAAAAAGCGGAGAAGAAAGAAGAAGAGAAAGTGACAGTGATTTACTTGTAAATATTAATATTATCTCATATTATATATTTATAATAAATCATTATACTAGTGAATTCATCACAATGGCAACCACCTCCTGGATATTATCCTAACAACATCGATTCTGGCTATCAACCTGGCTATCAAGGAAGCCATGTTCCATCATATGGCTCTACACATTCCACTGCAATCATTGTTCCAGAAATTATTGTAGTTGGCGGCTGTCCAGCATGTAGAGTATGCAAATTTTTTATTCAAATATCGCTGTTTTGATTATGCTTAAATTGAAAGTTAATAATATTTAAACCTAAAACAGATAGGAATAATGGAAGATGATTATACATGTCTTGGCTTATTTTGTGCGATTTTTTTCTTTCCTCTCGGAATTATCTGTTGTCTGCTATTAAGAACAAAACGCTGTTCAAATTGTGGAGCTTATTTTGATTAATTAAAAGTAAGTATTTACAAAAACAATATTATGTCATGAAAATTTAAAACAAGATATAAATGTTTAACAATCACTAATGTTAAGAATGATGAGCAATTGATATTTGATCAGAATAAAATATTTTTATAGTTAAATGAGTTAATATATGCGTATAAAATAAATTTGAAAAAAAATTTTAAATTAAAACAATCTTATCATTACGTAAACAAACATTTCGATCTTTATTAAGCCCTTTTTAATGTTTAATCAAATTCATCTATACATAATTTTTCAATTCCAGTACATACTAATTGTCAAATAAAACTATTGGAAATTTGTCAAATTCTGTAATATAGTATATCTAATGTAGTATCTATTAATAATTAATGACGAATTCGATTGGAAGCATATTAAAGCCGTTGTACACTTTTAATTTGAGTATAAAAGTGAAATGCAAATATTTCGAATTGTAAAATACATATTTTACCTAATAATAAAATATATTGAGTATTTCAGGATTTAATCAATTTCTATATTTATGTAAATATATCTTTACATTATTTTATGTATGATGACTTTAATATGCACCAGTGCGCACTGAGTGCGTCCAATCGAATTCGCTATAAGTAAACATCTTAATAAGCAATTCACTCAATAATCTTATTAATTTGTAATTAAACCGTTCTAAATTGTTCTGTTTTAGTTGAATCATCGCATGGTCTCAAAGCCCCAAAAGCTGGCTAAAATTGAAAGTGTTTTTCAATTTAGTTACGAAATTTCATATCTATAATGGTTTTCGAGATCACTGATTACGATTGAATTTGAAATCAAATTGCAAAGAAGCAAATAGATCTATTTAATGTAGCCAACGTATGTAGAAGAAATATTTGATGTAAACTAAAATTTATATCCTGTTCTATTTTTAAATAAGCGGTAATAAAATTCGAAATAAAAATAAAGATTTTTAATAAATAACAATTTTTTTATTAATTTAAAATAATTTTCATTGCATCCTGTGAAATTATTGTTAAAACTTCTAACTTTTATATTGTTAAACTTCGTTCTAAAGTCGTGCAATAATTTTTGCATAACTGGTTTCACCTGGTTCATCTGGTAATGTAATGCCCGTATCAGACTACGAATTAATGATCACGATTGACAATTGCCCAGTTTTATTTCAACTAATCACGATATAGCGAATCATAATTGGTTGAAATAAAATTGGGTAACCATCAATCGTACTTGTCAATCTGTAATCTGATACGGATATAAAGAATATTGTAATTTATTGGACATCTTTTCAATTATTTCATATGTATATATATGTGTATACAGGATTTCTAAAAGTAATGATAAAGTTTTTATACAGGGAGTAGAATAGACTGACTGAAAAGAAAAGTCTTCTTGCCTTTTTGCAATTTTCACTAACAGTTAACAAGATATTAATTGCTAACAATTACCGAAAATTGGTTTTCAATAATTTTTTTACTCAAATATCAATTTTACAAAAAAACCGCAAGAGACAAAAATTGTTTATTTTCTTCTCATAGAGCTCTAAAAATTTTTTTCAGAATTTATCAACTATTTAGTATTCCATCTTCTTATTTTTACTAACATATTGTTAAAAAATACGGTATTAAAAAATTCTGAAAATTTCTAAAAAAATTCTTACAGCTCTTAAATTATAGTTATTTGATGAGTGATAATAATATATATATGATAATAATATATATGTGATAATAATATATACCACTGATAATGAGACTATTACATCAGTAAGGTAATAAATGAAAAAAAAAATATATATATATATAAATTCGTAGAAACATAAAAAGGCTTTCATTCTG